CCGAGGTGCCCCTGCGGGGCTGCGGCCTGTGCACCATGTACAATTACTTGTTCTTGGCCGGCGGCGTCCGCGGCTCGGGCGCGCAGGCCGTCTGCTCCAAGGAGGTCTTCTGCTACAACCCGCTGACCGACATCTGGAGCCAGGTGCGCCCCATGCGGCAGGCCCGCGCGCAGCTCAAGCTGGTGGCCCTGGATGGCCTGCTCTACGCCATCGGGGGCGAATGCCTCTACAGCATGGAGCGCTACGACCCCCGCACGGACTCCTGGGCCCCGCGCGCGCCCCTGCCCGCGGGCACCTTCCCGGTGGCGCACGAGGCCGTGGCCTGCCGCGGGGACATCTACGTCACCGGGGGCCACCTTTTCTACCGCCTGCTCAGGTACAGCCCCGCCAAGGACGCATGGGACGAGTGCCCGTACAGCGCCAGCCACAGGCGCTCCAGCGACATGGTGGCGCTGGGCGGCTTCCTGTACCGCTTCGACCTGCTGCGCGGCGTGGGTGCCGCTGTGATGCGCTACAATACGGTGACTGGCTCGTGGAGCCGCGCCGCCTCGCTGCCGCTGCCGGAGCCCGTGCCCCTGCGCTGCGCCGCACTGGGTAGCACCATCTACTGCCTCAACCACCAGGTCACCGCCACCTTCACCGTCTCCGACGCCACCGCGCAGTTCGAGGCCCAGGAGATGCAGCCCTGTCCTGCGGGGAGCAGGGGCATCCTCTGCCCCTTCGTCCTGACCCTGCCCGCCACCGCCGACCCACTGCAGACTGCAATTTGAGCCCCACCCCAAAAGCCAGGGCCGGCATGGCCAGGAAGCCTCGGGTCCAGAACTTTCTGCTCACCGCTTGTTCCACTAAATTTTGTGCTGCCCAGGCCCAATGGTTCCTGCATTGAGGTTGCTCCCCCCACCCCCCACTTGTCAGCTGACCGGCAACCTTCACACTGGCGCCCTCTCACTACTGCCCCATCCAGTTGATAACTCAGTCACTCTGAGGGGCAGAGTGGAGTTGCCCCTGTGGGTTTCTGTGACTTTAAGGCTGGGGAACCTTTCCTTTTTTTTTTTTCCCCTGCCAAAGGCCATCTGGACATTTATAACATCATTCCTGGGTCATACAAAAATGTCAACTTAAAAATTAACCCGTTCTCTTTGGTCATTTAATGAACTTACCCTAATATGATGGCTGGAAGTGCTTCTCTTTGGCAAGTTGTGTGATGTTAGCTGGTACTGCTAATTTTCCGGGCCCAATACTGCCCAGGGGATAAAGACAGCGCTTTCTACCTCTGTAAAGACTTACAGTCTCGGGAACCCACAGGACCAGTTCTACCCTGTCCTAAGGGGCCCCAAGGGTCAGGATTGTCTTGATGGCGGTGAGTTTGAAACAACCTGCCACTGGTTTCAAAATGCTGACCTGGTGGCTAGCAGCCCAATGCGTAACCACTATACCACCACTCCCCTACTGCTCTTAGAATCACCCCCAGCCTCCACATGGTAAGAAAACTACCCACTCAGTCAGAGGCCCCCTCCTCAAGGCAAGGTCAGGATCACCATGGGGGCACCTGCCAATGGTTCTCCCAACACCAACAGCTGGGACTGACCAGATCCCAAAGGTCAGGGCCAGCCACGCAAGGGCATGGGCTAGACTGTCCTGTCCTGTCCTGTCACCCTAAGTCCTGGAGACCAGCTGGAGCTCATGCTGAGGCTTTCTGCTTGGACCCTTGTCCCCTGTCAGTGCTCAGCCCTGGCCACACTTCGGAAGGGCTCTGTCCTTACACTGTGCCCCACCCCCGCAGACCTTAATACAGGCATGTTCTTCAGTCCCAAAACTAGTTGGAGCCAGGTGGCCTTGGGTCCCTGACTTCAGGATCCCGGTTTCTGTCTCCAGAAGCAGTTGGCACCCAGCACCCTTTCCAAGCCCACTCTGAGCATGGGGGAGAGGGGTCACTGGTGGCCGGGGGCTGCTTCCCACTTTGCTTGGCATCAGCAACCCCCATGAGCGCTGACCTCGAGGAGCGCACCCTCATGTCGCGGTAGTCGACAAGCTTTGTTCAGAGGCAGGGAGACACAGAGCAGGGAGCAGAGGGCTCTCATTGCAGGCTTGAAAATAATTTATTGAGATCAGACTAGATGCGCTGTGGCTGTGGCGCTGTGGTTGTGGTCCTGTGGCTGGGCAAGGAGCAGCGGGCGGGCCACCCCTACGGCTTCTGCTTGGTCTCATTGAGGAGCTCCTGCCAGTTCTTCTCCATCTCCTCCTTGCAGTTGAGGAAGGCATCCTCTAGGCGCCGCATGGACTCGGCCAGCGTGGGGTTGGTGCGGATCACCACCATGTCATAGGCCATCCAGGTGGCTTGCACTGTGACATTGACAAGCCTGGTCAGGGACTGGGGCACTGGGCACCCAACAGGCCCACAAAGACCCCACGTTCCTCTTAATGACAATATACAAGACACGGGGGGGGGGGGGCACTGGGCTGCAGGTCCTAAGACCCACCAACATGGCTTCCAACAGAGAGCAGGGGGAAAGCTCCTGAGTCACATGCCTCTAAGGGACTGGGGGAGCGTCTGATCGAAATGTGGGAACATGAGAGGATGCACAGAGCTGGAGCCGGACCAACCCTTGGTTCCACCCATGCACACTCTCAGGGAGGTCGGATTCCACTCAGGTGAGTCTCAGGTAGGTCTGGCCCTGATCTGGCAGGCAGGACCCCACTCAGGCAGATCTGATCATACTTGGTAGGCAGGACCCCACTCAGGCAGGTCTGACCACACTGAGGTAGGTAGGCTAACCATGCTGGGACAGGTCTGACCAGGCTGAGGTAGGTAGGCTAACCATGCTGGGATAGGTCTGACCAGGCTGAGGTAG